AAGTTGATGTGAGTAGACAGATTCTACAAAACATCAATAAAACCCAAAGTTGTTAAATTCTTCAACAAAAACAGTAATGAACTTGTTATATTTCGATACCACATTTGGTAAGTTGTTAAGTTTAGACAGATTCTACAAAACATCAATAAAACCCAAAGTTGCTAAATTCTACAACAAAAACAGTAATGAACTTGCTATATTTCGATACCACATTTGGTAAGTTGTTAAGTTTAGACAGATTCTACAAAACATCAATAAAACCCAAAGTTGCTAAATTCTACAACAAAAAACAGTAATGAACTTGTTATATTTCAATACCACATTTGGTAAGTTGTTAAGTTTAGACAGATTCTACAATACAAAAATCTCCATGTGTTGATAATACTGTGTTCCAAGTTAACTAGTCTACAGATTCCAGAAAGTGTAATAAAATAATAACTTTACATTGATATATTTCCTTTATTTCACTAATGTATTTCATACTCTTACTCTGTCAACCTATCCAAATACTTACTGTTTTTTCAGGAATGTGTAAAAGTCATTATACATTGTGTTTAGAATACTACATAAGGAACACTTGCGTACGGTTGTCTTGAATTTTGAATTGTAGCCTGATTGAGAAGCAGCAAGTCAATGGCATTCACCGCCAACTCTTTAACAATAGATATTGTGATCGACCGACACATTATAACGTCATTACGGCTGAAAGGGCGATCATGTTCTGGTACGGGACTCAAACCCGAGACACTCAGATTGTGAGTGGAGTGCCTTAACCATCATGCGGAATAAAAACAATAGAGGGCTCTATCGAGTGGAAAACTGACACATGATAAAACCACGTGTTTACATTTGCATTTGAAATAATATCACTATATATTAATTTTCTAAATATTCTTTCTTTCATAAAATTCGGTCATGTTATTAGTATGTTTGAATTTTACTTTTGATTCTTTGTTAAATGATAAAAAACAAAATAAGGCGGGAAACTTGTCTGTGCACAACTCAAATATAGTTCAATTCAAGTGTTTTATTAGAACACTGTATCTTACTTAACTACGGTGTTCTTATTCTCTCTGATGAACTGTTTCACACAAAATGTATAAAAAATATACTTTGTTAGTCAACACATTATTCACACGTAAATGCATATTTATATGTCGGTCTTTACACGAGTTTCCAGAGTCGATAATTTTCGTGTTCTGTTGAGGAGATGATCCTCCAATAGGTGTCGCACCGAGTGAGCTTCATCTTGAGCTTCAAGTATCCATGGGAACCACGTGAGCTTGATTGTTCGGGATTTGTCGATCGACCTCATATAATGAGATACAGTGCTGTTCCTTGCCAAAGCAGTGCACATCGGAGATCTGATTTCCGAAACACCATGCCTGAAGAAACTGTCTCCGTTAAACCGATTCTGGAGAGATGTCGGTAAGATATCTCAGATTATAGCTTGTCGGTAAGATATCTCAGATTATAGCTTGTTGGTAAGATAGCTCAGATTATAGCTTGTTGGTAAGATATCTCAGATTATACCTTGTTGGTAAGATATCTCAGATTATACCTTGTTGGTAAGATATCTCAGATTATAGCTTGTTGGTAAGATAGATCAGATTATAGCTTGTTGGTAAGATATCTCAGATTATAGCTTGTTGGTAAAATAGCTCAGATTATAGCTTGTTGGCAAGATATCTCAGCTTATAGCTTGTTGGTGAGGTATCCTAGCTTATAGCTTGTTGGTGAGGTATCTTAGCTTATAGCTTGTTGGTGAGGTATCTTAGCTTATAGCTTGTTGGTGAGGTATCTTAGCTTATAGCTTGTTGGTGAGATATCTTAGCTTATAGCTTGTTGGTGAGGATATCTTAGCTTATAGCTTGTTGGTGAGATATCTTAGCTTATAGCTTGTTGGTGAGGTATCTTAGCTTACAACTTGTTGGTAAGATAACTCAGCTTATAGCTTGTTGGTGAGATATCTTAGCTTATAGCTTGTTGGTGAGATATCTTAGCTTATAGCATGTTGGTGAGGCATCTTAGCTTATATTATTGTACAGCCTTCCACTAAGTAAAGTAACAACAAAAACATCTGTTGGCATGGTACAGTGTACAGACGAGTGATTAGCGTGTCTAAAGTGTGAATACGGGGATTCATGGATCGCGACTCGTTTTCACAGAAATGAGATCAGCATTTTAAGGACAATACAGTTTTTGGCTACTAGTCATATTTTTATAATAAGAACGATTGTAGGTAAACAAGCACGAAGATAAAATTTATTGTAACTAGCAAGTAAGGTCTTTTAGGTTGTTTGTCAAGATAAAATTTGTTGTAACTAGCAGGTAAGGTCTTTTAGGTTGTTTGTCAAGATAAAATTTATTATAACTAGCAGGTAAGGTCTTTTAGGTTGTTTGTCAAGATAAAATTTGTTGTAACTAGCAGGTGAGGTCTTTTAGGTTGTTTGTCAAGATAAAATTTATTGTAACTAGCAGGTAAGGTCTTTTAGCTTGTCATTTTTCTTTCTGTTGAATATTTTGCAAAGCTACTCGAGGGTTATCTACGCTAATCGTCCCTCATTTTGAACTGATAGACTAGAAGGAAGGCAGCTAGTTAAAACCACTCATTGTCAACTCTTGCGCTACTCTTTTACCAACGAATAATGGGGTTGACCGTCACATTATGACACCCTTTAGTAAAAGGACTATTAAACAAATCAAACAGCTTAGCGACCCGATCTTAGGAGAAGACAGTTTCTTGGTGGACCTGTAAAAGGCTATTAAACAAATCAAACAGCTTAGCGAGCCGATCTTAGGAGAATACAGTTTCTTGGTGGACCTGTAAAAGGCTATTAAACAAACAACCCGAGTGATGACAAATAAGGCCTGGTGGCTAGGACACTCGACTTGCGGGTCGTGGGTTCGAATCCCGTCATTGCAAATGTTTGCCTTATCAGACGTGGGTCCACCAAGAAACTGTCTTCTCCTAAGATCGGCTCGCTAAGCTGTTTGATTTGTTTAATAACCTTTTACAGGTCCACCAAGAAACTGTCTTCTCCTAAGATCGGCTCGCTAAGCTGTTTGATTTGTTTAATAGCCTTTTACAGGTCCACCAAGAAACATACTCCGTGTAGTAGAATGGAAATGGAGAATATTAACATTAATGTGTCCCACCATTAATGTGTCGTACTGTTTGATTTGTACAAGGTAAAATCTACCTGAGAATCACCGATGATACATCAGCGTCTAAGGTATCGCTCAACAACCATAAGCTGCCTCGAGACTGAAAAAAAGTATATACAGTGTCTAGAAACTGCGTAGGATAGGACAGTTTTCGGTTTCGTACGACAGAGGGAGCTATTTGTCTATCAGCTGTCGTGTAGTCACGTGCTCCGGGTCACTACAGCCTATAATCAAGGACTTGGACACTGTCGTGGTAGACAAATAAGTGCTAGACAAATAACTGGTAGACAAATAACTGGTAGACAAATGGCTGGCAGACAAATATCTGATAGACAACTAGCTGGCAGACAAATAACTGATAAACAAATAACAGCCATAATCAAGGACTTGGACATAGTGACCCGGAGCACGTGACTACACGACAGAGTGTCCAAGTACTTGATTATAGGCTGTAGTGACCCGGAGCACGTGACTACACGACAGAGTGTCCAAGTCCTTGATTATGGGCTGTTGTGACCCAATGTACGTGACTACACAACTGAATGTTATCTCGTTATATAAATGCAACAGAATTAATTTCTTATTTTTCAAAGAGGCCTGCGCTGGAACTCCATCTGCGCATGTGAACTATACGGAACTGGAAGAACATGAAGAAGCATTCCTCGTGAATGAAACGGATGAGGAACGCTCGTTTTCTAGATCGTTTCACTGATTTAACAAACTCTCAACCATATAGGTCTATTTGTGTCCGTGTTAGATTCATGAAAATACAGTTTGACATGTTGTTTTTACGGAGAAACGAGGAACTATCTTAGTTTAGTCCTACTTTTGATTTGAACAGAGACGTACTGTTGTTACCAAGTGAAAAGATACCTTGTTTATATTTGAGAACAGATCTCGATGTCGTTTAAAAGAGTAAACTAACTGACTTTAAAAAAATCATTTAATTAAGCAACTAACTATTTTATATCCGTCTACAAGTTGATCTAGAAATCTATCAGAAAAATTTAAAATGAGTTTTAGAAAGTGCACGTTCTATCAAGTAGTATAAGATATCAAGTAATATATGATATCAAGTAATATATGATATCAAGTAATATATGATATCAAGTAGTATAAAATATCAAGTAATATATCATATCAAGTAATATATTATATATCAAGTAATATATGATATCAAGTAATATATTATATATCAAGTAATCTATGATATCAAATAGTATAAAATATCAAGTAATAAAAGATATCAAGTAAAATAAGATATCAAGTAGTACATTATATATCAAGTAATATATAATATCAAGTAGTATATGATATCAAGTACCATATGATATCAAGTAATATATGATATCAAGTACCATAAGATATCAAGTAATATATAATATCAAGTAGTATATAATATCAAGTAATATATGATATCTACTAAAGAACAGAGGTCCTTTATTTTCATTGGTTACCACACTTCCTTCAGTTCTTATAGTTACCAGTTCCTATTGTTCTGATAGTTACCAGTTCCTATGGTTCTGATAGTTACCAGTTCCTATGGTTCTGATAGTTACCAGTTACCATTGCTCTTATAGTTATCAGTTCCCATGGTTCTTATAGTTACCAGTTCCCATTGCTCTGATAGTTACCAGTTCCCATGGTTCTTATAGTTACTAGTTACCATGGTTCTGATAGTTACCAGTTCCCATTGCTCTGATAGTTACCAGTTCCCATGGTTCTTATAGTTACCAGTTCCCATTGCTCTGATAGTTACCAGTTCCCATGGTTCTTATAGTTACCAGTTCCCATTTGCTTTGATAGTTACCAGTTCCCATTGCTCTGATAGTTACCAGTTCCCATTCCTCTGATAGTTACCAGGTCCCATGGTTCTTATAGTTACCAGTTCTTATTGCTCTGATAGTTACCAGAGTGACTTATGTACGACAGTTCCAGGTGTTACCCAGTGATGCACCTGGATAAAAGACGACAGTTCCAGGTGTTACCCAATGATGCACCTGGATAAAAGACGACAGTTCCAGGTGTTATCCAATGATGCACCTGGATAAAAGACGACAGTTCCAGGTGTTACCCAATGATGCACCTGGATAAAAGACGACAGTTCCAGGTGTTATCCAATGATGCACCTGGATAAAAGACGACAGTTCCAGCTGTTACCCAATGATGCACCTGGATAAAAGACGACAGTTCCAGGTGTTACCCAATGATGCACCTGGATAAAAGACGACAGTTCCAGGTGTTACCCAATGATGCACCAATTCGAGAAATGATTGATACGTTAACGAAGAAGTGACAGATTTAAACTGTTTAAAATAACGATATTTTCTGTAATATTTTCCTTAGAAAGTTTAAGATAACAACTAGAAATAAGTGTTCGTCACATCCGGTTACTTGGCTTACTGATTCGATGTTACTCTTCATCTTTTCATCTTCTTGATGTTCAAGCCGGTGCATCATAGTATAAAGACAAAAGGACAAAATAGAAGCTTTGATCTATACGATAGATCTTGGAATGTTTATAGCTAAACTTGATACCACATCCGAAACCATCACGAGTGAACAACTAGGTCATTTTTAACCGTATTAAAACGATCCCGCCGAGCTGAAATGTTTTCTGCTTTTTCTTCCTTATGAAATGAATTCCAAAGCGTATTTCTCTCGACCAATTATCAATTCTAGTCAGAAGCCGAACAATACGTTACGGGTATTGTCCCTCCTTCTCACCTCGAGTGCTTCTCTTGACACTTATTTCTCTAGGTCGTCTTTCATCAGCTCGGTAATCAATACCTCTCCCGAGGAACAGACACGTGCTCTGTTCCCAGGCTCACCGTGCGAAGGTTAAAAAAGAAACCTTTAATCAAAGTACTGCACCTTCTTACATCTTAACATAACAAATGTACAGCCGTCACGCACTCCAATCAAACATAATGTCTACTGACGCGGCAACAAGAGTTTCACCAAGTGTGTAGTTCTTAAAGAACACTTTCCGTAACAGCTAGGTTCATGGTAACTTACATTTCCATAACAGCCAGGTTCATGGTAACTTACAAGATGAGTCTTCTAGATTAAAGGTAAGAAAACTTCAAAGAAAAAACTTCAATCAGTCACTTGATAGTGCTCGAGTTTCTCAGGCTGAGGAATTTCAGAAAGTGACGCGTATAAAACTATAAAGTGTCATGTAAACAAACAGTAAAGTGTCATATAAACAAACAGTAAAGTGTCATATAAACAAACAGTAAAGTGTCATGTAAACAAACAGTAAAGTGTCATATAAACAAACAGTAAAGTGTCATGTATACAAACAATAAAGTGTCATGTAAACAAACAGTATAGTAACATGTAAACAAACAGTAAAGTGTCATGTAAACAAACAGTATAGTGACATGTAAACAAACAGTATAGTGACATGTAAACAAACAGTAAAGTGTCATATAAACAAACAGTAAAGTGTCATGTATACAAACAGTAAAGTGACATGTAAACAAACAGTAAAGTGTCATGTATACAAACAGTATAGTGACATGTAAACAAACAGTATAGTGACATGTAAACAAACAGTATAGTGTC